ACATAGTAGCTCAAATGACGTAACCTAATTTTTTAGACGAAGGAGAAGACATTTTCTTTTCCAATGAGGAAATGCCTGTTTTTCAAAAAATTGTCAACATCAAGGTCAATAATGATTAAGCTTTTCTTTTGACTACAAAATTTTTTGAGATTGTGGAGGATGCGTTTGCTGTTATCTGTGTGTCGGACCTGATATATTATCAGCTTTTTGAAAGAGAAAAGCCTCATAAAAAGGTTCAACTTTGAATTTATCTGCATTGTTTTGAATTTTTAGTGGTTAGCGCGCACGGCCCATGTTTTGGAGGCCTTAGTCCTCGACATGGCGGACCCAGGTTCGAAATCGGACCTGTGGTCCTTTTCCGCATGTGTCTCCCCCTCTCTTGTACCCCCTTCCTGTGAGCCCACTGTACAAAAAACGAGCCACTAGTGCAGTAAAAACCTAAAAAGAGAAAAAAAAATGTTGAATTGATACCAAACTAGTGTTAATTTTAACATTATACGTATTTTAACATCACACACAGTATTGTTGGATAATGAACAATGGTTGGTGTAATTCAACACAATATTAATAAATTTTATTTTAAAACTAGATAGTGTGGACACATAGACACTTTTTTAGTGTTAAATTAACACTGGTATTTGTGCTGTGTATATGTGGGGATTTTATTCTAATAAAAAATGTGTTAACATGGGCACTTTTCATTAAAGGGTAAGCTACATATCTTCCCCAGAAGTACTGGAAAAATATTTTATATATCATATTTTACAGTATATAATATTTATATTCCCTATGTTGTCCAGTATAAGTCCATTTTTTTGGGTGAATGAGATTGGCAGATCAAAAACAAAGAGTTAAACAAGCTTTTTAACCTTTATTAAGTTTATATAGTATTTGATATCTAATCCTAAGAAAATACGTTAGTCAGCACGGTCACATCATCATTTTAAAGATAGTCTCAAAATCACATTTAATGGACCTAAATGATTTAAGTATTTTAGTATTCTAAAGTCAGTGGTACTGTTTGGATTTCCGCCTATCATTGTCAAACTGGTGGATAGATGAAGAGAGTTTTTAATCATGTTTAATAGACTTTCACAGTACACTGAGCAATAGAAGCCAACAAGCAACAGCATACTTTATGGATTTAGAGCAAAGAAGTAGGAAAAGATGGAAAGAAACACTTAAATGGTTATGCAATTTCTGTCATAATGTGTGGGAAATCAAACTGCGAGATGGGCTGGGTTAGGTAGTGAGTAAAAGGAGCTATTGCTTAGGGGTAACTAGATGACAAGAGATAATATAAAATGGAGAGAATGATGAAACAAGTCAGATCGAGCTTGAGAAAGTTTCACAAATTCTTTAAAGCGGCAATCATTATCTAGAGTTTAAATAAGAAACATCAAAATCATTTTGTGGAAAACAGCAACACTTGATTTAGCATCCCCTTGCAAGATCCTCAACATGTTTTGTTTAAAAGACTGTTTTATAGGCCTTTAGTTCTGACCTGTAACAAATTCTTAAACAGTGTCTTGCAAAATCCTTTATATGTCTTCAAGTTTGCAAAGTTTTTTATGTTGCAAACACAAACTTTACCATATTTGATGTGGATTTTATTTGATATAACAACTCATTAACTGGAGATTAATTTCAAGTAAAAATGTTTTACTAACCTACTGTATTTTTCTCTTCAAATACAAGTCTTAAAATGGCACCTTGCATTTGAACCATTTCAGTTTTACAGAGTTTAGTAAAAGTCCAAAACGAGGTTACGCCATTAAGCAATAAAAATAAAGCTTTAAGTATCTCAAAGAGTGCAGTCTAATCCAAAAAAGGCTATTCCTGGAGACAGTACAGGACCTTAGAACATGGGGGCCACTAGGATAGTCAATCATGATATGAATCTACCAGAAGTCTCCCATAGTCATGCGATTCATGACATACTTATGTGAGGGAGGATTTGACTGATGCAAGTAATTTTACCTGTCACTGATTTTTATCCCACCAATTTTATTGATTGATTAAGGGAATATTAAATTATCTGTTGTGCCTTCTTGCTGTTTAGTTACTTGAGACCTCAATGAAATTACTGTATTTTTATTTTTATTTTTTTTAGTTATTTTGTGTTGATATGACATCTTTGAAGTGGTACCGGCTTTATTTCTTATATCACTGGTTTATACTGATTGTTTCATTACATTTTACTTCTGATTAGTGTCTTTTGTGGATATGTCATAAATTAACTAAATCTAAGAACAGCTTCCTCCAGTTTGTTTTGGGAAGTTACAAAAAGCGTGTCTTGTTTGTGATACACTGTGGAACAATCCCCTATTACCCTTCTCTCTCATATATAATGACAATTCTAAAAGAACCTAAAATACTAAGACTGGTTCATCTCCATCCCGTTAGTGTGAGTAAAACAGTTTAAATCAGGAACTAGTCCTGCTGAATGCATTGTGGGACCTGCCATATTATCTTTCTTTCTATTCTAAGTCTGAGTATTGTAAAATCCTTACCAAATGTGTTGCAATAACTCAATAGACTGAATCAGTGAAAGAGAGCTCTCTTGGTAATGCTATTTCCCACAGTGCCATATACCTTAATGCACATTCATCTGCTCTCACCTGCTTTATTACAAACAGAATAAGGAGAGAACAGAATTAGGTGATCAAGTTTATTGATTAGTAGCTTAGGATAAGTCTTAAATTTCACTACTTTGATGTATTTTTTCTCACAGTTTTTCAACATGACCTCTGGTGTTAGGGATGACTTTGATCTTCATTTTTTTTTACCCCTTTTTTACTTTGAAAATGTTCTCATCATCTGCCATAAAAACCAGATTACGATTTTGCTCCCCAATGCAATTTATGTTTGTTAATCTCTACAAAGTTGAATCTGAATTTTCTTGTGAGAAGCCTTCCTCTATTTCAGAGGTTTATGTGTTTTTTCTTAGTTCTTTAAATGCTACTTTAATTATAAAAATAATAAATCAAATAAATTGGCATCTGACGTAAAGCAGGTGCTGGATCGGTCCATTGTAATCCATAGCTGAACTAAAAGGCAAATCCTTCGATTTATAGGTCGATCTATGTTCCCACCCTCATCTACGGTCATGAGCTGTATGTCATGAACGAAAGAACAAGATCCTGGATACAAGCGGCCGAAATTTGTTTTCTCAGTAGTGTGTCTGGGCTCTCCCTTCGAGATAGGGTGAGGAGCTCAGTCATCTGGTAGAGCTCAGTCTACTCAAACTAGAAAGGCTGCTCCTCCACGTTGAGAGGATCCAGTTGAGGTGGCTCTGGCTTTTGGTTAGGATGCCTCCTGGACGCCTCCCAGGTGAGGTGTTTCCTCAACGGCTTTCCTCTGCTTTTTGTCCACCATTACACTATCCGGTTGGTTTGCCATTACCATTCAGTCCGTATGTATCTGGAAGTCCCACAAAATCTTGGCTCGGTCATTCTCTACCATCTTTGGAGGTGTTTCCCACTTTAACCTTGGGGTTTCCAGCACATATTCTGCACAGATGTTCTTGTACACTACTCCAGCCACTTGGTTATGGCGTTCCATGTAAGCTTTCCCTGCCAGATTCTTACACCATGCAGTTATGTGCTGAGTTTGTTTTTTGTAAATAAACGTTCTGAACTTTCTTGCTGACTGTCTCACCTTGAATACTGGGTGCATCTGTTCCGTTCTATGACATGGATGTTATAGAGCATTAATCTGCGCATTAATCTGAGGAGATGTTTCCACTCAGCCTCTCCTTTGCAGTAAGAAATTTTCTTTAAGCTGCAGCCACGCTAACATTTCAGACATTTGCTAAAAGTTGTACATGCAATATATTGAAAAATGGTGAGGGCTTCTAATAACCGACGTACCTCAGTCTCCATCATGGAAATTGTATCCGTTTATTTCTGTCACTTCAAGTACCTCTCCTTGAAGTGGGCTTTAAATCAGTGAAGAGCTGCACCAGTGTTAATGCTGCACTGAAGTCAAATAACAGCAGCACTGTGGATCTTTCACTCTCTCTATTTCTATGGATGTCATTGAACACCTTGACAAGGATAATCACTATGCTATAGAGCACTACATAGTGATTATGCCATTTTAGGTGAGTGTCTGAACACCTAGTGGATAGAAAACTAGTGAACTCGAAATTTCCCAAAATGCACCTTCACATGTAATGATCATCCATGATCATTGGATGAACAGTTAATTGGATGAGCAGTTAATAATGATAATAGCATTTGAACTCTGTTGATCTCACATTGGAGAAATTTCCCACTGCATTTAACCCATCCCCTTTGGGAGACGTGGGCTGCCATTCTGCGGTGCCTGAGGAGCAGTGTTGGGTTAATGGTCTTGCTCAGAGCAAGATGTCCTAACCACTAGGCCGCCACTCCTCCCATATTCCAGATTGCTTTGTTAGCGCTCTTCTCGTAAAGCATCATGGGATTCATTGTGTTGGTAACAAATAACAAAGATGATGCAGGCACCGTGCAGGGAGGCGGAGTTACATGACCAATGTTGAGCGAAAAGTAGTGATCATCTGTCAGAACAGTCAGTTAGCTGAGTTCACTATAAAGTCAACTATATAGTACCCGCTCTATATAGTGATTAGTGGTGTTAGGGGTTGGAGCAGATGTTTGGACAGTCCTAAGTGCAGCCAAATTGATTGGGCTTGATTGCCAACCTTGCTGCCTAATATTACTCATTCTTTCTTTTACAATTTCTTTTCCAGTAACTGTAAATAAAAACTACTAGTTTTAAAAGAAAATTCTTTAAGATAAAAACAAATTTATGAGACTGATTTTAGGTTTATTTAAGCACAGTTTAATCAAATCTTAGAATAAAACATTTTTTTTAATTACACACAATTATGAACTTTTAAATTCTTATACTGGGCTAATAATGTGACATTCATATAATGAAGTGTAAATCCAGTTTGAGATTTAATTGGAAAGTATTTATTTACAAATTTTTTTGCATACCTCTTATCTCCTCAGGTTGGATCCTTTTTCATGATCAACCTGTGCCTTGTCGTCATTGCAACCCAGTTTTCAGAGACGAAGCAGCGGGAGCATCAGTTAATGCAGGAGCAGCGAGCTCGGTGCTCATCCTCTTCGACGCTGGCCAGTGAGCCAGGAGATTGTTATGAAGAGCTCTTCCAGTTGGTTTGCCACTGCCTCCGCAAGGGCCGGAGACAGACCATTGCATTTTTTAACAACTTAAGAGGTAAACCTCGTGGATTCCAAGGTGTTGGGAGAGGAAGACGTGGAGGGGTAGAGAGAGAAGGGAAGGTTAAAAGAAGAGAAGAACGTGAGAGAAGACTAGTGTCAAGGCCTGGTAGGTGGCTGTAAATATGATAAACACAGCAGTATCGCATGTGTATGCCATACACACTCACCTTCAAACATGTTCTTTTGCCAGCTCATCCATGCCCTCATCATCATAAAGCAGACAACACTTCGGCAGCTGAGCCTGTAGCCCTGACTGCTACCTCGAATGTTGATGGTTGTCCCCGGTGTGCTGCAGCTCTAAAACTAAAAGATGGAGTTGGATCTCTATGTGTAGCTGGAAATGAAACAGAAGAGGGAACCAGGGAGAAAAGTGATGAAGATAAGCAAAAACAAGGAAACCAAAACAAGGACAGAAAAAAACAGAGTAGTGGGGAGAACCATATAGGTTGTAGTCCAAAGAAACAGTGTAAAGAACTTTGGCAGCAGACAAGGAAGAAGTTATGGGGCATTGTAGAGAGCAAGTACTTTAACCGTGGCATCATGATCGCCATCCTAATCAACACCATCAGCATGGGGATTGAGCACCACGAGCAGGTAAGCATTTATTTCATTTTCTTCTTAGTCAGTATATCCCTCTTGATGTTTTTTTTGTCAGATATCTTTTTGGTCAGTTGCACCCCAAATATTCAAATATTTTGAAATTGTATTTATAGAAAAAATTGTGAAAGATTATCACAGATTTTGCCTTATACTTAAAAAAGAAAGACAGTATACATTCCAATGATTTTAACATACAAACAGGCAAAAGAATAACACCTAAACAGAATGTACATATTTTGTACTATCATTTTACAATGGTTTAGAACTTCTAGAAATGTTATATTACTTTCAAATAGGGGTGCCACTGGAAAAGAGGTGACCAAGGGCAATAACTATCTACTGTATGTTGGAGCTTCCAACTGTTTTGGAGCACAACAACCAGTTGCATAACCTCTTATTTAGGTATGTTGCAATGGTGGAATGGAAAATCTTAGTTCACTCAAAAAGATCTCAATAATACAGCCATATATTCACATTTCCAGTTCAATTTGATTTAGAAATATTTAGTTGATCTGATAGGGAAATTAGAGAATAAAATAAATTCATATGACATTCACTTGTTCTTTATTTGTTTTTGTCAAATCTTGTTTGAATACATTCTTCATTCAACACAATTTGACAAAGTATTTTGAAAAATCTTTGAAGATATTCCAGGCCTCTCTTAAAAAAATCGATGAATTAACCACATAACAGGTTTAAATCCGAGGAAACCAATAGAATCCTGGATAGATGTTAAAGCATCTATCCAGGATTCTGTCAGATTTACAGTATTGGCTCGCACTAGGATGTCGTCTAGTTCTTTTTCTCACTGTTTTTGTAAGCACTTGGAGGCCCATCCTCACGGCACCTTCCAAGTCCTTCCAGATGCAAATCAGTTATACATCCACCATTCTGCTGTGTCAATGGTGTCTACTCTTTTGTATCTGAGCAGTTGTTGCTGCTATGGACCACATTAACGACTTTGCCCAGCTTCTGTTTGGGTGTTCTGTCTGTGGTATAAATGTCTTGACAAAACATTTTAAGAAACAATTGGTGGCAATCCAATTTCCTCTGTTTTAAGCCTACTTTGTGGGTATAATGACCTGGATGAATGACTTTGCACAGGCTTTTTTTTTTTGACAAAATAAACTATAGGGCCCACGTATTTTTAATTTTTTCATCTTTGATTGTATTATATACTTTTAATTAAGGCTTATTTCAGTGTGTTAGAATATGACAATGTTTGCAGAATAATGAGAGGGAAAAAATGTTATAATACATTTTGTACTAAGGCCATAACAACATAATGTGGAATGAGGTGGTGTTAGTTCTTTCTTGAAGCACTGGGAGTTTCTTGAACCAAAAAAACATGACTGCACCAAGATTAATAAGCAGTATTTCTCGCTTTTATGAAAAAACAAAACCTGTTTATATTTACCAAGCCTCACAGTAATAAAACTAGTGCGTTGACATACCCTGTCCCTTTTTTATTTTCTATGTTTTTATTTTTTTTTTGCCTGTTTTCTGAACTCTTTGTATTTCTATCAATATTTCTCACTCTCGCTATACCATCGCCCACTCATGCCTGCCACCGCCACAGTGGTAGGTCGTCTCTCATCCTAGCTGCTGCTAAAAATAGAGAGACAGAATGGAAGTGACAGAGAGACTTTGCTGTGTTAATGGGGAGGAAATACAAAGCTAGGATGTCTGCCTGCTAAGAAAACTAGAGTATTTCTTTACCACTGGTTGAACACCAGTATCAAAGACCTCTTTTAAGTCTCAGAACTGTGATCTGGTCCTTACATATCCTGCAAGATATTTGGTCCTCCAACATTTTTCAATATGCAGGATTGCTCTAGGAGGTAGGGAAAATGATCATGTGTAGCTGAAACAAAACTCTAAAAATTCACTATGTGTCTGTTGTTAAAATTTAATTGGAATCTAATAAATCTTAATTTTAAAATGTATTCATAAATGTTATATATTGCCTGAATTCAAAAAGCATAGAGCTAATTTTAGCAAAAGATTGTAATCAGGGGCCCACGCATTATGAGACGATTCAATTGTATATTTCCAATAAGAAACTGGAGCAGGTCTCCTCTCAACTCACTATTTGCTCTGACTATATATGGTGGCTGCAGCTGACTGTTGCTTAAGGTAGTAAAGAATTACCTATGTCAACCTTTGCAAGATAGTAACATAGAACAATTGTTGCTTTCACATAAAGTTGTAAAACCCGTCAAAAACACAAAAAAGTCACTAGATTTGTCTCTAGTAGCTTTTGCGATACAAAATTCCTGGCGGGGGGTTGTTAAAAAAATGCTCATATATAGGGGCCTTTTGAATAAGCTTGCATGTTCTCTTTTTAGATTCATGGCTTTCTTGTACTATGGGTCTTCTTAAGGTTCAAAATCAGGCTAGGTACATTAACTTGAGAGTTGATAAACTGTCATTGGGTGTTAGTTAATGGTTGTGTGCTCTGTATGCCTCTCTGTTGGAATGGTGATGGATTGATGACTTGTCAAGGGTGTGCCCTTCCTCCATTCACCCTGGAGAATATAAATGCTGTTGCTTTGACTTCTGTCTAAACACAATCTAAAGAGCAACATAAAGTATAGGAAGTAGGTGCAGTATATCTTTGTCTAGAAATACTTTCTAATAAAGTTAAATATTTAACATGAATATTATTTCACTTAAATTTCTGCGATATATTTACCATTAGCATTTGTCAACAGCCTTCTTTGCACCTGTCTAGTTTGTAAGAACAAGAAATATGATAAACCCACTAAACACCATTTTATGACACTAAAACAAAAATAAAGTTTTGAATTGATATTTTTTAAATTCATCCAGGGAATTCCCTATTTCTAAAGTATAATCAGTTAAATTTAATTCACTTATCATGGTTATGTTAATTTGGCACTCTATAAATAAATAGATTTGAATTAAAATACTTTATGAATGCTCAAGGAGTTTGGTGCGATTAGACAACTCAATTTCCTGCGGGACAATAAAGGACTTTAAATATGATCTAATGTGATTCACTGTCCACGGTCACTACATGCTCATCCAAGCAGTCTTATTGCTGCAAATCAGTGAATTGATGCTAAATTTCCTTGGATAGAACACTTCTTTACCATTTAGATTTTAAGTTTCATTAATTTTACATTTTAAAGTGCATCGTTGCCGCATTTGTTGTCTGTAAGCATAAGTTGAATTGATTGAATTATGTGATCATGTGCAGAGATAACATCTCCATTTATGTCGGGCTTATTCAAGCTAAAATACACAGGTGGTTATTGGTGGGATCTTATTCCGCTATGGATAAAGTGTTGAGTATTCAGAATGGAACACATTTATTTGATCTACTTAAGACATTCTGTTCTTTCAAACCCACTTCCATATTTCCCTTTAAGCTCTTTCATTGACAAATTTATATCCACAAAACTAGTGCTCATTTTGTATTCTATCTTTTTCATGGACCACAACAGTGGCACTTGGAGTGGTTTTCTGCTGCTCTGTGAACCGAAAGATGGTTGTAAAAGATTGGCAGTTTTTCTGACCACCTAACCATTAACCAACAATCATACCAAACTCCATGCCACCTAAATCCTGTTTCCACACATTCAAATACTTGTTTTAAACTTATCTGTCATCTATACTTGACAGAGATGCCCGAATTGAATGAGTTGCTGCCGTGTGACTGTCTCATTCACTATGTTATAAAATATACAAGCATTGAAATAGGCTTATAAAGTGTCAGATGTGATCACATGTAGTTAGAGTTGCGATCAGATTTAAGGGGCTGGCATGTCTCCATGCTGATGGACATGTATAGTTGACCAGTTATTTGCACTGCTACTAACTTATTACAGTGACAAACAAGCAAACAAACAAACAAACAAACAAACTGTTTCACTAAAAAAATAGAAAATGCACACTCAGAGATGCAACAGTGTTGCACAAAATTGCTAATTACTTCAATGCAATTTTTTTAGAACGGCTTTTTAGACGAATAATAATTAAAACCCTTTAGTACATCTGTGTACTGTAAGCATGCATGTCTTGTTCATCAACAAGCACAACTAACATCATGTTAGAAACACTAAAATGATACACACTAGGGTGTATTTATCTGAGACCCATAAAATGGTAATATGACCATAAATCCTTGGTTTTATTAAAATATTTAAACATAAAACGACTTGATCTTTATTTATTTAGGATATTTTTGGTAAGAAAGGCTTTATTGTGGATATAGACTTTGATTACAAGAAAACTGTGCTAAAAGCTTAACATAAATTTAATTAAATAACATTTTAAAAAGATGTAGCAAGCTACAGATAAAACCTGTTAATTGCTCATAAATTTTTAGATGTATAACAAATTAGTAATAAATTAGACCCCCAAATCCAAGGCTGTGTAAACACATTTTCAGAGCAGGGTAAGTATTTATCAAACAATTCTAATGATTTTTCACTAAACAAGTTCAGCTATCACGAAACATGTTCTAACTAGAAATATTTATAAGCGCTTTAGTCTAGTGAACCTATAGCTACAATCCCTCCATTTAGCATGTTTTATGTCTATAAAAACTGTCCTGATCCTTTCTAGATTTGTTTATCTGTCTTTGCTCTCAGTTTTTAATGCCTTTCCTTTCTTTTTTCTCTTTCATTTCAAATTTTTGGCCTTTGTGGTGCTCAGCCAGATGAGCTCACCAATGTACTAGAAATCTGCAACATTGTTTTCACCAGCATGTTTTCCCTGGAGATGATCCTAAAGTTAACTGCTTTTGGCTCTTTCAATTACTTGCGAAACCCCTACAATGTCTTCGATGGAATCATCGTCATTATAAGGTACACACAAATGCACAAAGTCCTCACACATATGTCAACATCTACAAATAATGGATTTTTAAAGGCGGAAGTGCTGCAGTGAGGTACAGTATACCGGGACATCATTGATCATGCAGAATAGTAGTATTATTTTACGAACAGGAGTAAATATTGACTTATAATTAAGTCATCATGCTTGCTTTCATTTTTTTCAAAGCTTTTTTTAACACTGATTATTCATTAGAGATAGTGATATTAAACTCTAGTTTTGTTAAAGTGTCAAATACATGTAGACTCATTCAAATGTACCACCTGTATAGACCGGCAAGCCAAGGTGTCAGGCAGCACTAAAACATGTTTTGTGTTTTGTTGTATGTGCCTAGAGCCTTCTGTGAATGGCTGTAGCTTTGATCTGCTTGTGTTTTTTCCAATTCATCTGCTTAGAAGTCTTTGTCTGTGATCCCCATTATAAACCACAGATCAAATACACATCAAAGCACAGAGAAATGAAAAAAGATCAAATGTGCAACCCATCACAGAAAGATACAGGTTGATTGAAATTTCTCTGGCTGTCTTCTAATCTTTTGCTCCTCAACCAGTTTTGCTGTCTTCATTTAACTGAATGTCCTCTATCATTCAGAAAAGCCCACTCTGTGAAAGAGCCCCCATTTAGTCTACATCAATTCAGGGCAGAGTAGATATTTTGATCTGTTTATCAGCTGTTTATTTTTTTTTTTTTATTCTTTCCTACAAAATGGCTCCCCTTCAGCTTACGGTATATCTAAGTTTGCATAAACAGTATATTTTGCAGTGTTAAAGTAACACTTTAAGAGTTAAATTCTAAACCAATCCGAGTGCATTTGGTCCCACTCTGAATTAGTCTTTAATTATCTCTCTACATAGTGTATACCTTACTCCAGTTTTTGTTGTAATAACTCTAAAAGATCCAATGTACTTTAACACTCCATATTTAACACTGTAGAATTTACTGTGTAAGTTTAATAAGTTGGATTTATGTGAAACAATGTTTGAGACAGAAAATACATATATCTTGTTGAAAAGATACAGCATACTGTAGATAAATGAGATTCTTTTTCTGTATCATTTTCTTCTTTAAAAGAAAATGATACACATCTGCAAGCTGTTTCCTCATGCTACTATAGTCTTTTTTTTTTTTTTTTATCTCTGTTTGCATCTCGATGCAGTGTTTGTGAGATTGTTGGCCAGTCGGATGGTGGTTTATCTGTGCTAAGGACATTCCGGCTGTTGAGGGTGCTGAAGCTGGTGAGGTTCATGCCGGCTCTCAGGAGACAGCTTGTCGTTCTAATGAAGACTATGGACAATGTGGCCACCTTTTGTATGTTACTAATGCTCTTCATCTTCATATTCAGGTAAGATAGCTGATGTTTACTCTATAATATTGAAATGCTTGGCTGAAAATGTTGAGATTCCATTCTTATCCCAGATTTCAATCTGAATATCTCTTCATAACAGTATCTTTCAATTTAGAATGTTTTTGATTAAAAATGTTGTGGTGTGTTTGGTACTGGTGAGATAAAAGCCAATAAAGTAGATTATACATAAACTGCCAGTTATACTGATGGATTTTTTTTCTGCCTGTATTTTCAGTTAATACATTAACAGTTATATAACAACCATCATAATACTTCTTTTGTTCTTATATCTGCATTTATCTTAGCTGGACATAGCTAAATTTTAACCACAGAATGTACTTCAGAAAAATCAGATCAGATCCATCCATGGTCAGATCCATAGCTACCGTACGTTCATAGGCCAAATGTTGTAGGAACGTCTTTAAAGCCACAATATTCAGTAACTACCGTACATAAAGATACATCTTAAAGTGTCCATCAGAATAAACTATGTTACAACATGTACATGAGAAAACAAAAAGTAGCAGTTTCTAATTGTTTACTGTGGTTGTGTATAATCATACATCATGTATGCATCTGGTGAAATATCTGGTAGCTCACCAATGAGCGAACATACTTTTTGAAATCTTTTCGATTACGTCTCTATAGTTTTCAGCTGGATAAATCTGGTGCTTTATTAACTCTTATGGGACTTATCTGGTACTTTTTTTTAACCATGTAATTTTCTTTTAGGTTTTCTGTATACTTCAAAGAACTTTCTTTGAGATGTATGTAATTGGTTATGGTATTTAACCAGGAAATCCAATTTAGAACTAATTGGATTGAATTTGAAAATAGTCTCTCTATTTTCCAGGCTGTAAATTTGCCTACCTTCTGTCAAAACTCTTCTTGTAGCATTTCTGAGCTCTACATAGTGGAAAAACCAACAGAGGTTTAAAACTTCAACCTTCCGGTTTTCTACTAAAGCTCTCTAATATTCTCTTTAACTTTTAGTACAGTTGAAGTTAAAAATGGCCTTCAGGACTCATAATATGCTGTCTTTTTATGCAATCTATATGATTTACTTATGTTCACAGATGTTATTTTCCTGGGCTACAGCATAAATAGTTTAATTCATTATACGGCAAATTTGAATTTTTGATCATCTTCAGCAGAATCAGATGCTGAGCATCCTACACCATTGTTCAACCATTTAGATAGATTTTATATATCTGTATATATATTTGTGTGTGCATGAGGGTGTGTGTATGTTTAAATGAGGAAATGTAAAACAGAGGTTTGATAATCAAAAATCCTTTCCATGCACAAATTAAAGAAGATAAAGATAAGTTTCAGTCCAACATGTTTTTTTGTGTAAGACCTTTTTCTGTTGCAGTATTCTCGGGATGCACATCTTTGGCTGTAAATTCAGTCTAAAGACAGAGACTGGGGATACAGTACCAGACAGGAAGAACTTTGACTCTTTGCTGTGGGCTATTGTCACTGTTTTCCAGGTATTCAACTTATTAAAGCTGATAATCTACAGTAGTTAAATACAGTAATATGCTCATTATGGTTTTTATAAGTATGTGTGTGTTAAGCTAATATGAATTTTATTCATTTTCCTTGCCTTTCCTTTAGATTCTGACTCAGGAGGATTGGAATGCGGTTTTGTACAACGGCATGGCAGCTACCTCACCACTTGCTGCTCTTTACTTTGTGGCGCTCATGACATTTGGAAACTATGTCCTGTTTAATCTACTAGTGGCCATTTTGGTTGAAGGGTTTCAGGCAGAGGTAAATCCTGAGTTCTTTTTTTATGATGAATTTGTGATAAAAGAAACAAAAACACTGTTATTACTGTCAAATGTCAAGTTATTTTAATATTAACATGCGACAAGAGTGTGTCGAAGAGAGGAAAGGTCTGGACTCTTTAATTGAGAATGTATGGCCTGAGCTTAAAAGCTCTTTCTAAACCAGAAAACCGATCAATCTAAATGTGTTTTGCCAGTTTTCATATGAGGTCAAAGATTCAACCATAAATATGCCTGAAGCTTCTTGATAACTAAAAAAGCATTTAATTTCTCTGTAACCATACATATATATAACCATAACCATATATATA